CCCCCCCACACACACACACACAACCAAAAACCCGTAATCTATTCTGTGGATTTATGGGACTTGTGGCCAAACCGGTCAGCTGGTTATTTCTGAGTCAAATGCATGTGATGACATGATGAAGAAATAGCCGAGCAGCTGTACTTTCTTGTAACTTAAGGCTTTGAGTTCAACATAATTCAAAGCTACAAGGCTGTTGAAGCTCAAACTATTGCATGAACAAGACCTCACTCAAGAAGGAAAAAAAAAATAAGTCATGTGCTGCATCATGCTGGTGGGGACTCAAACAAAAAGACTGTAAGAGACTATTCATGCACTAAGCAAAGAGCAAATATGAACAGACACAGCATCCATCTATGAAAACAGCTGGGAAGGGAGAGAGAGACCTTTTAAATTGGATATAGGTGCTTAGGTTAATGTGTTGTCTGAATTATGAAAGACTCCAGCTTATCCGAAATGTCACACAAACATAAAAGTATCCTGGATCAATAAACTGTTATTGTATTGCCAGCACCTAATACAAATGCAGCATGTTAAACTGGCATTTTAGTAATAGCTAGGCATTTGATTTCAAGCTTGAGTATGACAGTACATGAGAAGTTCAAGTCCAGCTGTGTTCCTAAATCTCAACATAGACTGCTTGGATTTCTATTGTGCCTGCTAACCTCTTAAACAAGTGACAGTATTAGAAACAACAGGGCCATTTTGATGGGTCTTAACTTTTAATCTAAAGAGGTCTTCGTCAACATCACACCTCATGAAAGGGTGGAGATACAACTTGTACAGTGGGACTGGCAATAAGCCCCCAAACCCTATTGTTGCTGCAGTGCTGCCTCTGGGACACTGAACACCACAGGACTGAGTTCTGTCCACTCTAGAACTAATTTGATGTTTAGTAGGAACTAACATTTTCAACTTTAAGCTTGTTCTGTTCACCGCTAAAATTCAAATTTTCCAAAGAGCTAGTCAAGACTCTACACAAGAATGGGATGTTGTTCATGATTGCGTGTACCTTGGCTCAACAATCTCTGACACTCTCTCTATATGTCGAGATGGATAAATGCATTGGCAAAGCAGGTACCATGTTCTCTAGACTCACAAAGAGTGTACTTTATGGCTTAACAAGAAGCTGGTGGCATATACGGTACCAAGGTCCAGGTCTATAGAGCCTATGTCCTGAGTACACTCCTGTACTGCAGTGAGTCCTGAACCCTTTGTGCACGGCAGGAGAGGAAGTTGAACACGTTCCATGTGTGTCATCTCCGACGCATTTTTGGTATCACCTGGCAGGACA